GGAGGGGCACTGCGAGCCGCCAACGGAGCCCCGCACCCCCCCTGAAATTCAAGGTGTTATATATATACTTTTTTTAAATATATATAGAATCAAATTGCAAATAATCTATAACTACTGTCACTTTTCACATTGAACATGTGCTCTTTTATTAAATAAACTAAACGCTTTCATTTTAATTTGTGGGTTTAGTGTTTTTGACCCTAAGAAACACTGATGCATTAATCAATAACAATAATCCACAGCTCCTCTCTCTGCTTCAGAGGATTTAAAAAATATATCCCAATGCCACAAAAATGAATCAGTGACGTGGTTGAAATCTTGTCTCCAGAAAACTAAAAACTGAAACAAGCGGTATCAGTGACTGTGTGTTTGATGTGGCTCCTTGCAGTAACATAGAAAACATGTGGCTCTTAACCTCTGACTGGTTGGCCACCCCTGATATAGCTCAATGTACCATTATCTCTCGTAGTTTCAATTCTAATTGTTTTTTAACACCCTATCGTTAGACTTGCAGTATTTACAGTTTAGGAGGTGAGAGTCGTTCTAAAAACATTTTAGAATTTTAGAATTTTAGAATGTGTTTTTCATTTTGAATATTATTTGTGTTTGTGAATCAGTTTCAGATATCATCTATCTATCTATACTATTTTTTCTTCTTTCTTCTGTTTCTTTGTTCTGCACGTGGAAATCTTATCAGTTCTGCATCCATCTGTTCGTCAATAACTCTGTGTGTGTGTGTGTCTACCAACACAAGGTCAAAGATATTCCCTCCAACCGTCATCCTGGTCCTAAAACTGCTATTGACACACACTGTTTGCATGTGTGTGGTTTGCATGTAAAACACCACCTATGCCTAATGTGTTTTATGTGTGTGTCAAGAAGGAATTGTGTGCCGAGGCTACTGATGGTAATAAAACACATATTTGCATGATACCCCGCATGTAAAGCTGTGCATATTGGAGTTCTTTGTTTGCTGGTGTGCGTGCCTCTTTGATCATATGTTCAAGGTGCATGTGTGAATCGCAGTTAATGTCCAACTCCCTGTGAGAGGTTGACACACTCGCATGAGAGAGTGTAATCCGTGTGTGTTTGTGTGCTACTGGGTGAGGCCGGGGCCAAGGTCTTATGAGAAGAGTGCTGTTCGTGTTCGCATGCAGGGGGGGGAACGAACGTGTTAGTGAATGGGGTGCTAAATGAGGAGTGGACGAGGTGGGCAGGAAATGTGTGAGCGCTAGTGTGTGTGTGTGTCTGTTTACATGTGTGAACCGCTAGCCTACGGCTCTAATGAAATGTGAAAGCCCTCCAAGTCACCTCTGCCCCCCCCCCCCGCTGTGCTGAATCCCGTCGGCCCTTCTCTCTCTCTCACACACACACACACACACACACACACACACACACACACACACACACACACACACACACACACACACACACACACACACACTCCTATCCCCTCTTTCACACACATCATAAACAGACATGCTCATGTTAACACGGAAGCGTTAGCGTGGAAAGAGGTCTTCTCTCTGTCTTCCCTGTCCTGTGAGGCAAGGCTCTCCCTGGGCGTGTTGGGAGTACAGCTGGCAGTCCGTGAGCCTCCAGACAGACACACACACACACACACACACACACACACATGTATATTCATGCAGACAGAGGCACGCTAGGCAGTAGGTCATGAAGCCGCTGGCGTGAAGGATAGACGGGTCTGACACCAGAAGAGCAGACAGCCTCTCTGACATGCACTGGGGAGCATTATAGGATAACAATGGCGTGCTTGTGACTCCGTGTGTAGCGTAGCTCCCTGTGAGTCTGTGTGTGAGGCGATGTGTTCAGGCAATCATGTATGGCAACAACATGCATGTGTATGTGTGAAAGTGGGAACAAATAATACTCAAAGACCACCTTGCTTGTGTTTGAAAATGTAAATGTAACCTCAGACAAAATGTGCGTTGGATTATATCTTATAATACAGGAGCTTCTTAATGTCATCAGGTTAGCAATAATTAGTTTGAGTATTTTTTTTGTCTAGCATAGACTTACTTAAACTAACATGAAGGTTAACGTTAGCGATAACTCACCTGAGATCTGAGATAACATTATGTTCAAACAGTTTTCAGTCCTTTCATTCATTTTGAAAGTGATACATAGTGAAAACAAACTAAAACGCTGAAATCTAATGTAATAGAGTGGTGCAGTAACAGATCCTTACCCTTATAAAACAAAAATATATTGTAATATATTGGTAAATATAATACAATATACTGGATCATATATTTCCATATATGGGAAAGTAGTCCTTATATTTTTTAATATATTGCAATATATGCATGGACCATATATGGCTATATATTGATACATATAAAAAAATATATTGCAATGAAAACAAAAACTGCACTATACATTTTTATATGTAAGTTTTATTGAAACACTCATTTATCTTTCATGAGTTACACAAGTTTACATAAAGTTGAACAGATATTCATAAACAGTTATCTCACTTCGTTTTGTATAGTTACCCACTTTATATATGAACATATGTTTGATGGTATATGTTAAAAAATAACATATACTCCATTGAAAATAATATACAGTTTATAAATATATACAGACACACACATGCATATATGCATGCATATATGCATATATATATATGCGTGCATATATGCATATATATATATGTTTATATATGCATATATATATGTTTATATATACGCATATTTATATATATATATGCATATATTCACGCATACATGCATTTATATATATTTTTTTTTTCATTCTTGAATATACTATAATATACTTACTTATTATTTCTATTTGTTTAATATATATGTTTATTTTGAAATTGGAAATAACCCAGTACTGAGATATTCTTGGAAATTAAATTAGAATCCATAAAACAGCTTGCGTTTGGATTCTGGTTACGGCCGACCGGCTATTTGGAGTGGAATGCAGCCCATCCACGGCAGTAAGCCCAAACAGTAATCGAAAGCGCTACTTCCGGCTGACAGTGTCTTCACTAAAAACTTGTTAACGTTCTCATTGGACACATTACGTGGTGCCAGTGATCATCACCAATCAATCTCACAGATTTCGGGGAGCCCCCCCCTCTCCAGCAATAGATTGATCTGATTGGCAGATTCAAATGTGCGTTGCCGCCTCTGTCTGTTGATGATGGCGCATTCATCAGGTGCTTCGAAACGGAAAACGAAACGAGAGGAAAATACAGCACGAGTCAGGTATGAGTGTGAGCATTTAAAACTATTTTAAATTGAAATAATTCTGCATGTACACTACAAGCAGTCTAGTTACTTAATCCGTATGTCCCGTCTCTCGGCACTACAACTACATTAGCTAACGTTAGTTAAATTAGCTATGTTAGTTCCCTTGTGTATAAGTGTATAACCGGTCCGCAGCTTTGTGAACATTCACTTTCGAAGATTTTCGATGTTACAGTCAACTGAAGTCGACCCAAAATAGCCAAAAATAGCGGACTTTTAGATCGCTAACATTTAGCATAAGTCAATGGAGTTTAACATAGCGGAAATTAGCATCGCGGCTAACGGACATTTTCTGACTGGTGAAGATGATGAGCTGGTTAAGTAATGTAACCACAGTTAGCCTATGTGTTCTGATTAGGGCCGGGACTCGATTAAAAAAATTAATCTAATTAATTAGAGGCTTTGTAATTAATTAATCGAAATTAATCGCATTTTTAATCACATATAAATATTTGACCTGAGAACAGTGAGAAGCAATTTTTTTCACATGGATTTTAGTATACCATTAGGCGCATTCACACCGCAGTACTTTTCCCACAAAGGTTCATGAGAACTTAGTTCATGAGAACTCTTTGAACCTGGGGGTGGATTAGGCAAATGAAGCCGCTGACGTCACTTCTTCTTCTTCTGCTCTGGGTTTACTGGCAGGCCGCAAACCACTTCACGGCGTATACTGCCGCCCAAAGTCCCCGGCCGGAAGTCCCCGGAGTTGGGGACTGGCTTCAGTAGAAGCTGCTGGGAGTCCCAGCAGCTTCTACTGAAGCCTTCCGAGTAAATCGCCAGAACGCCGACACCTCCTCATCTCCACCGCTCCCATGTTTTATTTTGTGTTGCCATAAGTTAGTCTCTCTGCGTTTCTGCGCTGGGCTAATGCTAATAATGCTAATGCGAGGATATGGCGACAATGGCGGCTTCACAAAACTTTTTGGGAGTTTTACGGGGCGTGGTTTGCAATCCGCCCAGCCAATCAGACATATAGCTCTCTTCTCACAAGAGAGCCGTACGAAAGTCCCTGCTAGAGAGCAGGGACTTTCGTGGGGTGAACTAATTTTAGTACCGGCTCTTTTTGGTGTGAACGCGATAAAAGAGGCTAACGTCCACGCTAGCTGCTATATGTTTTTGCATTGAGGTGATACTTGAGGCTTGATGTGCTGCGGTGATATGCGAATTCCTTTTTGCATAATTTGCACACAACCGTGCTCTTATCGACGCTTCCATCCGTCCGTTTTTCAAAACAACATTTCCCACTGTTGTTCACTGTGGTTTGTTGTTGTCTGAAGTCATGAACGTTAGTTGGTGCTCCAGTATAATCGGTACGCCTGAAACTCATCCAGTGAGAAACGTTCCGCGGTGCAAAACTAAGTGCGATTAAAATGCGTTAATTTTTTTAACGCGTTAATTTTTGTGTAATTAATTAATCTTAATTAACGCGTTAAAGTCCCGGCCCTAGTTCTGATGTTAGTAACTGTGTAAGCTAACATTAGTTAGGCTATGTGTTGTGGACTAATGCATTCAAGTTAGTTCACATTTTAGTTGTTTTTATTGCCCCTGCTGACAATTGTGTGGATAATATGTAGCCTATACAGTCAATGGAATATCACATTTTGCTCTCCAATGTATGTTATTTTAATGTTGACCCATAATACTATAACTATATATTTTTACAGGAGCATTGTTGAAATTCATAGGTCGAACTAAGCCTGCAGAACCACACTTCAAGAGGACAGAGGAGCCAGATCGCAGTGGTGAGGAACGCACTGTCATTTCATTTCACTGTAATTTTTAAAGTTTTCCCATATCACTTTATTCACTATTCAGCTTAGTTATTTATTCAGTTATTTTATTACTGGTACTGCTAATTGCACTGCGTATTGTTGTATATTGTATATACGTATGTATTTACTATTTACTACAACTACTTACAAAATTGAGGGTTGTAGCCAGGCTTGGAATTTCGTCATTTTAGGGGCAAGGCCATTTGGCCTTCCCGTTCACATTTTTTTTAAGGGCACAAAGGCCACATGACAGGGCACAAAGGCAGTTTGGTTAAATTACGCTGGTCAATCAACATGACTGAAAAGTGTAGCACTAACGTCAACACCAGTCGTTTTACAAATGGCTGAATAGCAATAGTGTTTCTTAAACGTATGCGTTAAGTTCAGCCATAAACCACATAAGTCAGTCATGTATTATATCAAAACCGCTTAGCAAGAAAACTACTAGATTCAAAGGTGACAGCTATCTGCTAGCTTGTAGAAGCAACACTAGATGTAGACCCCTTGAAGGGAAGACGTTAGCGCTATCCAAACTAGCTAGCTATCGCTAGTTTTCATGACAAAATGTAACGAGTTGACTTTTAAATAGGCTAATACAATGGTAATTACCTATCAATAGTACTTTCTATAAACACGTAAATGTTAAGTCCTTTCAAATACTACCACATACTTCAGTTAAATCATATCAAAACAGCTTGGTCCGCTTGCTTACCTGTGCTTGTCTTTATGGAGTCAGATTTGGGTCAATATTCTCGCGCGTAAAACAAGCTATTCACGAGCGGAAAATGTGCTTTTACACGCGCATAAAATGACCCTCGCGCGCGGATTAAACCCCCGCGAGCGGAGACAGCCCTCTTGCTTGCTCGCGGGAGTGTCAGCCTCGCGGAGTCTGTCTACGCGCGCGTGAAAAGTTTCTGGCACTTTGGGGCGGAGCCACTGGACTTTGATTGACAGCTGCCAGGAAACCCGGGGTTGCCAGGTTTGATAAATGCCTGAACTACCAAGAGCCGAGCAGTGACGGCAGCAAAATCTAGGTGCGTACAGCAGACAGTAGCTAGCAGTTTTCGACGGACACAGCCCACTGAAAAATATATTGTTTTATATCAAATTAATGTATATTACATTACATTACATTGCATTTAGCTGACGCTTGTATCCAAAGCGACTTACAATAAGTAGATTCGACCAGGAAGACACAACCTTGAAGAAAACAGAATCATATATATATATATCAGTGACGTGCGGTGAGGTTCATGGCTGGTGAAGCACTGACTCTTTCAGAGTCAGATTTACAAATATTATATTCTGACCTTAATCGAAATATTCTGTTATTTTCAAAAGCTTTTTTGGTCTGATGTTTCGATTCATTTTAAACAGACCGTTCAACAAAAGGATACCCAAAATCTAAATATTGGATTGTTCTTTCTTAGTAAGATCCCATGTTCATTACAATTGTGGTCTTACCTTGACTTGAGGATGAAGTCCATGCTATCCTTCTGGACAACAATCTCTATTACTTTTTTGTAAAAGTCCTCCTTATCTTCCTCTAGTTTCAAAAGTCTAGCTTGTTGTTCGCGTCTATACCGTCTCTGCGTAGAATAACAGTAGCAACAAGGACCTGTGGGCTCACGTGCGCCCCCTTCAGTGCGGCAGAGGTTATGGCTGCCTCCCCTGGTGCTTTTTTCATTGCCGTTGTACGGCGAGCCTAAATATCATATATACGTGAAATAAGTTATTTAGAGACTATGGATGGCGAGGATACATGTAATAAAGGGATCTACAAACATTACATTGGTGACCTACCGTGAGATGGTAACAGGCATGCGCTTAGTGCCCGCTTTCCAGCCAGTTTCTGTGGGGTGACGCATTTTGAGGTGAGGCAGAGCTCATCTGTGCCTCACCTTACCACACAGTAACTGGCTTGAGCGCGCTCACAAAATAAGTGCCCGCGCTAAATTAGTGCCCGCGCTCCAGCAAGTTACTGTGGGTTTACGAGAGGCAGAGCTCGTCCCTGCCTCACTTCTCATCGCTCCCATGTAGTTGTAGCGGAGCTCGGCAAATTTGCTGATTTTGACTATAAAAAGCGATTGGAATCATACAGAAATCACACTTACAACACAGATCAGTGGAGACATTTTATTATTACTATTTAGTTTTTCTTTAGCTGTTTTTCCGTTACATTGTAGTATGGCCAGTCTATGAGTATGACAGGTGAGGCTCTGCCTCCCCTGACTGCACGTCGCTGATATATATATATATATTTCCGTTAGTTTCCGTTAGCCGGTAATTACCGGTTTTTAGCTGGTAAAATTTATTAAAAACCGGTAAATTCAAAACCTGCCGGTCAAAATGTCTGGTAATAATTAGGAAGGCTCCGATAGATCGGCCACCGGTCATTATCGGCCGATATTCACTCTTAATAGTTTGATCGGTGCTCTATATAAAGAACGATCAGGAGAGCTGGATCTGATCGATATGGACATAAACGCGAGTGAAGTATAACCGGACACGCGAGAGAGAGATCAGATCAGCTGCTGAGTCAGACCGAGACACGCAGCTCTGCATAATCACCTGAAGCCCCGCCCACTGTTTAGCGAGCTGCATGAGAAACTGACGGGCTGTCAGGAGAGAGGGAGGGAGAGGGGAAAAGAGATGATCCGTTTCTCCCGTGTTATTATTCAAAGTTAATGTAAACTTTTGAATAATGTACGTTATCTAGGCTAATACAAGTAGTTTGTTTGAATGTAATAATTATGTTGTTTGTTGTTTGTGGAATCATTTATTGAAAAATGGATCTGAATTGTTCGATCTGTTACGATTATAGACTGAAGCAATATCAAAATGAGCCCCGTGAACTGAGTTTTAAACTGAAGCATATCTGCTCATAGTCCGGTAATTACCTGCTAACGGAAACTCTGCTACACAACTCTTACTATTATTATTGAAATATGACCGGTAAGTTTCAAATTTGTCCGGTAAAATAAATTCTGCCCGGACATTTGACCGGCGAGAAAAAATCCTAGCGGAAACCCTGATATATATATATATATATATATATATATATATATATATATATATATATATATTAGCTGTACACTTTACGAATATAATAGTTTTTTATGGACAACTTTACCATTCAATCTCGTCCAACTGATTTTGCTGCCGTCACTGCTCGGCTCTTGGCAGTTCAGGCATTTATCAAACCTGGCAACCCCGGGTTTCCTGGCAGCTGTCAATCAAAGTCCAGTGGCTCCGCCCCAAAGTGCCAGAAACTTTTCACGCGCGCGTAGACAGACTCCGCGAGGCTGACACTCCCGCGAGCAAGCAAGAGGGCTCTCTTTCTCGCGAGCGCAGAGCCGCTCGCGGGTGTTTAATCTGCGCGCGAGGGTCATTTTATGCGCGTGTAAAAGCACATTTTCCGCTCGTGAGTAGCTTGTTTTACGCGCAAGAATATTGACCCAAATCTGACTCCATATGTCTTGCTCCCGCGGCTGAGGGAGGAGGCTGTCGGGCCCCTACAGGCATTTCTGACGGAACAATCACAGCAGAGCAATCGCTCTGATCCACAGACACGGGACTATCCTACTGCGCGCACTAATATGACTTTACTAGCATTGTTTACACGGCATGTCTGACGGAACAATCACAGGAGAGCAATCGCTCTGATCCACAGGCACGGGACTATCCTACTGCGCGCACTAGTATGACTTCACTAGCGTTGTTTACACTGGACCTTTTGACAGGGGCACAAAGGCCACTTTGGCCGTGAATTGCATTTTTGTTCACAGGGCATCACGGCCAAAGTGCGGGGCAACGACAGCCATGGCCGTCGTGGCCGTCGTGAAATTCCCACCCTGGTTGTAGCTTTGTGTTAGTGCATGTTTCAGGGTTTTTCTATGCCTTTTGTTCATCTAAATTCTAATACTCATAGGCGACTACAACTCCTGCCGATGTCGAGGCCCAGTTCTCCCTTCCCACCACCCCAGGCTCATTGTGCTAGGTAAAACTCTCATTCAATAAAAGTAGTCTTTTAAAGGTGGGGTAGGTAATTTTGGAGAAACCAGCTCGAGTGAGCTAGAATTTGAAAATACACAGCCGGAAAAAATCTGCCACTTCCTTACAGAGCCCCTCCTCCAACACACACAAACGCGCACATGACCAATGAGGGCACGAGATAAATTTGTGCACAGATGGAAGGCTGACAGGCAGGTAGGCCATCCAGTTATTTTAGCCGGGCCGCTCAGATGATTGGTCATGCTTTTTACAGTAGGCTAATACGGCTTCCACAGATGACGTCTTTTTAATGGATTTTGTGTCAAAGCACTTAAGATATTCATTGCTATCAGGATGTTAAGAGCATTCCATGGAATATAACAAAAAGTGTATCTCGAGCCGGTTTCTCAAACTTACCTACCCCACCTTTAAAGATGAATGCAATTACATTTTAAAACGTTTTAAACCGAACTGTTACAGATGCAGATGCTTGGTCCAAATTCCATAAAACATACCAACCAGTAGCGCCACACTCAGACGAAAATGTACAAAGCCTATTCTTACACTATTTGCATTCCCACATTATTCACCAAGCCAGCCCATGCTTTAATATAGATATTATGGATATTGTTATAATTCCTGCTGTCTTTTGTGAACTTCTAATTATTTGTAATTGTTCTGTTCCACAGGTGCTGTAGCAAACCACCATCCAGGGATCAAGACATCAGATATAAGAAAATCCATTAACACAAGAATTTGTGAGTTAAGGCACCAGGTGAAGCGAAAAAACAAGATGGACGATTAAATAGGGTACAAGACTGGTTTTTTTGGCCCTGTTCCGGACCTTGTTTTAATGAGTGATCAGCTCATGTTTAAAGTTGTCACCAGGTGAAACAAAAAACAAGATTGTTAAATAGGATAACAGACTGCTCTTTTTGGCCCTGTATGAAATAACAATGCATCATTTATTAACTATACCTATATAAAATGTAATACATTTTCCCTTCATTATGTAATAACACCTCCTTTTGTAATAATTTGCCCATTATGTAGTAAACAAGTTCAATGCAAATATGTAATACATGTCGCCACATTTTGAAATATATTATTACATATTGCAGTGGTTATTACAAAATGAGTTGCAAACAATAACATTACAACTGTTTATTTATTCAACCATGAATCATCCTTACTCATAATTAATTTAAAAATATTTCAGTAGAATATCTTTCATTGGCCAAAACTAGATCAAGTGTTCATTCATTAGCCAACATGAATATCAACATCAATTTTGGGATATATTTACAGTTTGGTTATGGTTACATAATGAATATTACAGTTTTTTAAAAGGGCAACTCACGCATTTTGTAATAACCATTGCAAAATGTAATAATTTATTACAAAATGTAGGGAAATTTATTTTATATTGCGTTCAGGCTGTTGATTACAGAATGCAGCAGATTATTACAAAATGTGGGTTTTATTACAATAATTACGTGAAAATGGTCTTGAGTCATTACATAATGTGTTTATAGGCTTTTATTCTTTCCTTGTCCTTCTTTTAATGAGTATGTTGATAACTGTTACACATTGATAGAAAAAAAAACAATTAAAGATTTGTTTTACCAGAACATGCATTTCTCCTCATTGTGAACATATATTGCACTCATGTTCGGAATATATGGTACGTACATGGTCTTTTATAAATCTGAATATATATATAGTGCATACATGTCCCCATATAATTGTGAATATATAGTACATGCATGTCCCCATATACATCTGAATATATACTACATAGTATGTAGTATATATTCAGATTTATATGGGGACATGTATGTAGTACATACATGTCCCCATATAATTGTGAATCTATAATACATACATGTCTCCATATACATCTGAATATATAATACATACATGTCCCCATATAAATCTGAATATATACTACATACATGTCTCCATATAATTGTGAATATATACTACATACATGTCCCCATATAAATCTGAATATATACTACATACATGTCCCCATATAATTGTGAATCTATAATACATACATGTCTCCATATACATCTGAATATATAATACATACATGTCCCCATATAAATGTTAATATATAGTAAATGTATGTTCACATATATACACAACCAATATATTATATATATTTATTTACATATATTACTCAATATATGGAAAGCAATTACTGATGTATTATCCCATATATTGCAATATATTAACACAATATATTATTCTATATATCAATATATTAACACACAATATATTATTCTATATATCAATATATTGTAATATATTAACACACAATATATTATTCTATATATCAATATATTGTAATATATTAACACTATATTATTCTATATATCTTCAATATATTTTGTAGATATGAATAAATATGTTTTTCATGTTGATTATTAATCAGTATCAGTTGGTGTAGCCAACAGCAAGATTTCCTTTATTGAATCTTTTCAATTAACCAGTAAATCAGAAAACAAAATAATGCAATATATTGACAGTTAATATATGGGGAAATATATTTTCTTTGCGTAAAACTTGGGACTGACTTATTATTTTACCACTTTCTGTTCCCCCGTCTGGACATTTTTTTGAATGTGTTTTTGATGAAATTCTGTCTGAGAGATTTTAACATTTTGTTCTTCAACATAAAATACGACAGTAAATACCCCACTGGCGAATTTAAAAGCAGCGGTTGCTAAGTGTCTAAATGAGACGGCTAAACGTCATCACGCCCAACCGTAGCCGCTTTTAGCTTAGCGGTGGTGACGTGAAGTCATGTGACTGTGATGTAGTTCCTTTAAAGCCTAACGTTAGCTTTTTAGTTCTGGTGATAGCACTTACGCTTCAAAAATCATAAAGTGGTGTTAAGATGTGGACATTATCCTGCTGAACCACAGGTGGTTTCATCTTGCCAAAAATACATAGGCCTACTAATAAAAAAAGGCAAGAAAGTCCAAAATGCTGACTCATTCCCGGGTTTTTGTAGCAATTATTAATGGAATCTAAATGTAAAGCAGGCATGGCAACAGTAACAGACAGTCTAACAGTAACATGTCAAACAACGCTCCTCTGCAATACTTGTGCAATAAGGACATTTCTAAAAATATAAACAAATTATTTCATTTTGGACCTTGCTGGGAAGGTATTGGCCATGCTTAGGCCAATTGGAAATGGCCTATGCTTATGCTTATGGCCAATACTTAATGGCCTTCCCGTCAAGAGTTGAGTGATGAGTGATTGAGGGTGGGGAAAAGCCAGCGTAATGGAGGAATCGACAATGAGTAATCTGTTCTTTATTACTTCTTATGAGGTCGTTTTAAATCGATCAGGATGGAGTGTTTCCTGGCACTTCCCTGAACGTTCCCAGGATGTTCCGCGACATTCCTGGAAATCTCATGGATGACGGCTGTGCTGGTGATGAGATCCGGGGCTCACTGATGCACGTTTGTGTGTGTGTGTGTGACTTGTGTGGGAGGGTGTGGTAGGATAAATCCTTTCGTTCTCAAGAAAACTAAAAGGTTTTTACACATGTTGGCTGCACATATGCAGCACAGACATACACACACACACATACACAGGCAAACATAGACACACACACACACACACACACACACACACACACACACACACACACACACACACACACACACACACACCACACACACACACACACACACACACACAGCTGTCTTCCAGATGGGTCAGTGGTTCTCCAGTGAATCATACAAACTGACTTAACCGTTGCACACAGTCAGTAGCAAGCAGCACATTTTCCATATTACCACCTCCTCCCTTCTGCTGTGTCAATTCCCACCCATGTCTGTGTTTCAGTTTCCCTCGCTCACGTTTTCTCTCACTATCTGCTTTTTCTGTCCACTTATATCAGAATCAGAATCCGAAACGGGTTTATTGCCAGGTAGGTTCACACATACGAGGAATTTGACTTGATGTTATGGTGCATACATCAAAGGTAAAACAAAGAATCTCCATAGAAAACAAAACATCTTTAAGGACACTGTAATAAAATATAGTTAAATAGCAATAAAATAAAGCAGTAATTTACAGAGAAATGGAATGCAATGAGTTATAGAATATAAAATATGCAATAAGAATATGTGCAGTAAGCAGTATTTTAATATATCTCTCACTCACTCTGGTTTCTATTATGGAGTCCTTTGTGGTTCTCTCCATCCAATACTGTGTTCTTATGGTTTTCTATTTCATGTGAAAGGAGAAGTGTTGGACAAATACCTTTGTTTGCTTTTGGCCTAGAGTGGGGTGCGATGATAGATATATCATGTGTTAAATATGATGTGCGGGACACGAACATCTCTATATTTTCACACGTATTTTTGTATGTCGCAGATGTTGGAAGACTTCTGCAAACAATCCACCTGTTAACCTTTACTTATTACTAAGGGAAATAGTCGATTTGGACATTCCAGAGATCTGAACATCAAACAGACCGTTGCTAGGGAGGCTCAAGGGACTATGTACAGTGTACGTATTTTTATATTTGTGGAGAGCAAGAAACTTTGGATTCAAGATCGCTAAACTGTCCTAAGTAAAGAAAAAGAAAAGTGGAACAAGAGAAGGAAAGAGGTTAAAAGACAGAAAGCTGTATGTTAGAGAAATTGACAGAAGAAGACAGACAGGAAGTAAACACTAATGGGAACAGCAGAAGAAGACAGACAGGAAGTAAACACTAATGGGAACAGCAGAAGAATACAGACAGGAAGTAAACTAGTGGGAACAGCTGAAGAAGACAGACAGTGGCCGTTTCTCAATCGCAAGTATATCTGCTGCAGAGCAACTATTTCAAGTATACTACGTCATAGAGTGGCGCAGAATGCTGGGCATTTAACATGCATTTAAACAGTCCTTCGGCGCCACTCGATGATGTAGTATACTTGAAATAGTGGCTCTGCAGCAGGTTTACTTGCGATTGAGAAACGGCCAGGAAGTAAACACTTATGGGAACAGCAGAAGAAGACAGACAGGAAGTAAATACTAAAGGGAACAGGAGAAGAAGACAGACAGGAAGTAAACACTAAAGGGAACAGGAGAAGAAGACAGACAGGAAGTAAACACTTATGGGAACATCAGAAGATAGACAGAAAGTAAACACTTAAGGCCCTGTCACACTGTCCCGAAATTGACACCCGATGGACACACGATAAACGAAATATTCAAATTCGGCTCTGATCGTAGCAACATCGGGCCATTCGTGAGGGCATCTTAAGCCATCGTATGACCGCCGGTGGAGTTTCTCAGGCTCCGGCAGCAACTTCGTGAGCGGCAACTTCGTAAGGTACTCGTGAGGGCATCTTGTCAAATCGTGTCATCTTCGTGTTATCATCGGTGCATTCACCCTCACTCTGATCGTGGCGAATGCCCGATGGCACCGATGATAACAAGATGCCCTCACGATGGCCTTACGAAGGGCAACATTTACACACAAATTCAACACGAAAATGAACCTTCGCAAGGTCCTTCGGCAATTTTTTGGCATGCCAAAGATTTTGCCACCGCTCACGAAGTTGCTGCCGGAGCCTGAGAAACTCCACCGGCGGTCATATGAAGGCTTAAGATGCCCTCACGAATGGCCCGATGTTGCTACGATCACAGCCGAATTTGAACATTTCCTTTATCGTGTGTCCATCGGGTTGTTTTATTGCACAACAAAATCATGTAAATATATTATGTAAATAACCCAATTTGTGTTCTGTGAAACTAAAAAGGATATAATATATTATTTTGAAGGACAGTTGACAGGAAGTTGTTGTTGTTATGGAAACAACATTACGGAGAAAACGTAATAATTTCTACATATAACGACGGATAAAGTAAAGAACAAAGTCTGAAGATATCAGTACAGTATCATAGTACTGTAACATAATTGTTTTTGGTACTTTCATTGCAGTTGTATGTCTTAAATGTAATGTAAATGTTGCCTTCGTGTGTGGTTCGGGGCCATCTTCGTGCGAAATTCACAATTCCATATTCGTGTGTCCATCGGGTGTCAATTTCGGGACAGTGTGACAGGGCCTTTACAAGAACAGCAGAAGAAGACGGACAGGAAGTAAATACTTACAAGAACAGCATAAGATGACAGACAGGAAGGCCCAATCCCAAACCGCCCCCTACACCCTACCCCTACACACTACCCCTTCGTTCGCGCGGAGGGTCCGCCACATTAAGTGCTGTTCCAAACCAACGAGTGTGGAGCGGTGTGGACTGGAGACCGGTCTCTACCTGACCGGAGTCAACGCTGTGTGTGTCTGTCGGGAAACATGCTGTTTACAAGTAGTTCCAGCAAACATCCACTGATAAATTGCAATGTTAACAACCTCATGATACCCTCACATTGTTTTTACTTAGGATCATACATTACATTACATTACATTGCATTTAGCTGACGCTTTTATCCAAAGCGACTTACAA